TGAAGTCCCAATGCCTAATACCTCAGAATGTATTTGACTCTGGACCCTTTGAAGAAGAAAATTAAATGTCATGAATGAAGGCCCTGATGCTCTGTGACTGGTTTCCTCATAAGAAGCATTGTTTAGGATACACAGGCACAGAGGAAAGATTGTGCAGACAAGGGAAGACAGTCTCTACAAGCCAAGAAGAAACTAGCCATGCCAACACCTCCATCTCAGACTTCCAGCCTCCATAGATACCACAGAGTACATTTCCTTTGTAAGCCACTGGCCTAAGGTGGACTCCCAGCAGACTTTTATAACCCACTCTTCAAATACACCTTGTTGTTAAAGTTTACAGAAACTAATGCTAATTTCATTTTATGAGAAATTGCCTAAAACTCTTTGGCAAACATTCTTTCCACATAGATTACACAAATAAGGTGCCAACTGCTGAATTATGGAATATTTTTTACTAGAATTTACCATATTCTCACTTCTTAAAGACTGTTATGTGCATACTAACTGTAACAGAACCTTTAATTTGGAAGTTTTCTATGTAAAAAAAAGTGGAGCACTACTCAGCCATAAAGAATGAGAAACTAGAGTCATTCATAGGAAAAGGATGCATATTGAGGCCATACACTTAAGTGAAATAAATAAGACACACATGTGTAAATACCGAATAGTTTCTCTGGTGTGAAAAACTAAAAGTGTAAATAAGATCCAAATTGTATAACTGACAATGCGAAATAGGAAGAAAAGGGCTAAAGGTGTAGGGGAAGTGGGAGGGGTAGGGGAGAGGAAATAAGGGAAAAGAAAAAATATGAGAAAATGAAAAATGGAAACAAAGTCTTTGTAAATAGAGGAGGAAGTGAACAGAGGACAGAGGTATGGGGAAAAATGAGAACCAAGATCTGTCATGTAAAGGTACAATTTCTCAATGATGAATGTAACTGTACTGTATACTTAAAGGGTACCTATAAACTCAATGGAAAAAAAAAGAAAATCTTGTCAGGAGTTTAACATAGCTTTCAGTATTTGTTGGGTAAAAAAAAAAAAAAAAAAAAAAAAAAAGCCAAGATAAGCTACTCTAAGTAGAATGTTTTGAATTGTGAAAATATTTTTGCTGGGCACCAAATTCTCACATGTAGTAAAAGAAAGCGCTCCTATGGAGTATAACCTAAAGTTAATAAAATTATTCTCTTTACTTCAGTATCTACATAATTACCATATAAGATGTGGCTCAATTTAAATTTTATCCTATGCATAGCAAAATCATAATTCTCTAGCTGCCCTGAGGAAAACTTTTTAGGTAATCTGCAAATACAATATTGAATTACACATAAAAGTCTGACAGGGAAGACTAAGATGATTTCAGATTTTCATAGCATAAAAAAATGCTTTCTTTACTAATGAAAAGGCAATTAACAAGTGAATGGATGCATTCAATATATAGTTCTAAAATTTGAAAGATGGGAAGAAAAATGTCACAGAAATGAAATGATTTTACCTTTTTTTTTCCTTTAAGAGTAATTCAGTTGAGCATCTTATTGGGCCAATTACATAACAACTGTCCCACAGAGACTTTATTATTTAAAGAAATTCAAATAGTTTTGTGGACTTGGCTGGTGTCCTGAATAGGAGAGCAGAACAAGTCCTTATACCAACTATCTCTTCCACTATAAATAAAATCAGATTCCAATTTGCATTTAATTTTCAAACACCCAAGAATTCTGAAAATAACTTCCAAAGCTAAAGAATAACTTCTTTAAAGTGCTAGTTTAAAATATTTACAAATAACATTGGGTTACTATTAGACTTTAGAGAAACAAAATATCCTTAGGAAAATGAGCCTTGTGGAGAATGTGAAGCCAAGGGGTACTCAGGATATCTGAAGATGCTCAGGCCCCATGCAGGAGTTGGCTACAGTTATCCAAAACATTCAGAAATAGTTTCCAAATGGTAATATTAAAAGGAAGGCTGGGGGGACCAAAACAAAAGCCTGGCCCTTAATCATGAACATCCTGCCAGGCATTAGAAAAGGATTTATTCTGTATCTTCTCCAATTTATTTAAAAGTATAACTCAACCCAGCTCTCTAGAAATTAATAACTTAAAATGCAAAGATTGAGATCATGAGCTCCACAGCCAGTTTTCTTGGGTTCGATTCCTGGCTCTTCCATTTACTAGCTGTGTAACTTGGACAAGTTGCTTAATTTTTCTGTATCCTAATTTCCCTTCTCAAATGGAGATAATGGAGATAAACGGAGAACTAGGACAGTGAGTTGTTTTATTATATATCAGTTTTTTCATGTAAATTCTTTGCTCAGTGACTGAAATCTGATGTCAAGTAGTTATTGGAGGTGGTGGTGGAGAAGTTAAAAACTACTCAAAGTCAGAGCACAAAGAGCACATACAGTGTCTGGTTAGGTTAGATTGAAAAATACCAATAAAAATTCCAACCTTATAAACACATTCATGAATTTTGTTTACATACAACTTTTCCCCCATCAGCATTACTGTTCTAGAAATCCACATCTCCACTGATCTGAGCTGGAACCATATACACAGTACCAGACCAGGCAAGAGAACAAACCATTCCTTCAAGTGTTGCTAGAAACAGTTGACTTTAGGGTCTCAAAACGAAATAGTCATCACCGCCCTAACTAAATCATGATTAACTGCGTTAATGGAACACCAGACCCGAACTTTCTAGGCAAATATTTTGGGCCAGAGCACTGTGGCCCACAGGGGTCCACAGTAGCGGTTACGAAGTCCACTAACCCCACGATTCAGCAGCAGAACGGGAAAGGAGAGGTTTGCCCTGCCTCGGCCTGGACTCTGACATCTTTATTGCCCCCTCCACCACCCAAAACACCCAGGACCACTTCTGCCAGCAGGGCTGGCTCCATCTCCACCCTAACAGGAGCAGTTGTGGCAAGCAGTCCTGGAGCCCAACTCCCCGACCCTGCAGAGGCCGCAGAAGTGCTGCTTCTGCTTATAAAAGCTGTGAAAGCTCTGGGATGGGCTGAACAATTTTACCTGGGCCTGACCACCCTCTTAAAAAAATAGATCCCATTTTTATCCACTTCCCTCTCCCCTCCTAGTCTCTGATTTTCTTTTCTCCCCTCCAGAAATTGCTTACCAAGCTTAAGTAAACAAACATAAATAGGGTTTCTGACTAGTTGCAAAACGCCAATGGTTAACAGTACACAAAACATTTCTGATCTAACCCTTACTTGGAAACATGAGGATGTGTCTGAGAGGTTTAGACCAAAGTTAATTTTTTGCCTCCTGTTGACATCCTAAGTGCCCTTGGCCTGCACTGGACACACAATTTCTCAAGCATAAGTCCGTTTTCTCAGCGTTTCTCTTGGCTCTAACTCTTTACATGTGAATAGAATGGTTCTGCACATAGTCAGTTTGTTTCCTTAGTACTTTTTTTAAATCTACTGCAAATGTGATGCCAAATCTTTAAAAGCTTTCTACTCTGAAGCACAAGGCAACAGAAAAAGATGGCAGATGCACAAAAAGTAAAAGACAAATACTTCTTTTAAACAAAAGCCGAATGTGGTTTAACTCAAACTGAGTTTCTGAATCATACTGAAGCCAGTAGGCAAAACCACATTGAAAAAAACACAAAGCCTGTAAATAGCAAGCTAATGAATCAACACAACAAAGCTACATGGGCCTAGAAAAAGTATTCGGCAACGTGGTCTCCACAATATTAAATTACAAGATAATATATTAAAGGAGTTACTTCTTCTAAATTCTTGCTTGACTCTTTTTTAATCCAAACTATTTCATTATATATTTTGTTTTTATTTAAAGAACATTTAAAATGACACTTTAAAGAACTGATTTCTTCTCTTCTATATGCCAAGAAGAACTAAGAATATTGCAGCAGTGACCAAGGGGTATAAAGAATGAGCCACTACTAAAATCAAGATCTTGCTGATCACTAATAAATCAAATCCCAGGCAGTGTCAGAACTATTACTACCTAATTGAAAGAAGCTGGAGATCTTCAAAACTTTCTGTTGCTGAAAAATTATCCCCCCAGCTGACAAACTAAAAATGTATATTAGGCATGGAAGCAAATCTGTGTCCAGTTCTGAAGATCTCTATACTACTGCTTGTTTTATGTTTTTGAAACATTATGATGTTGGTGATTTATTTCACATCCATGTGGTTGGACATTTGTTTATTCTATTGCATACCATCTGTTTTTTGGTAGAGATGCTTCAAGTTCTTCTCATTCCCTACCTCATATCCCACAGAAAACAATTTATAAAAGACAACTACTTAAATCACTTGGACTCACATGGAGCAGGAAACCTGAGTTTCCCTTCCTTTATATTTGGCAAATGCTTTAACAGGATTAGCAAACTGTGTTATTACGAGGTACTTATGGAGAGACAACACCTTTTTTTTTGCAATGACAGATGATGTTAACAGTTTCATCTGGGGTGTTTAATGGCAATACGGAAGATTTCACTAGCACGACAGGAAATTGCTGCGATAGACAATTAAGTTCTACCGCAAACCCTGCTCATACCTTTTATTCTGAGAGTCGATGGATATGCATTTTAAAGTCTACAGTGGGGAATGAATATCAAGTTGCTGTGCCTGCAAGGGAACACTGTCAGGCCTCTGTCCGGGTCTTACATGTTGGGTGAGCTCTCTAAGCCTGTGATGGCAGACCCTTTTGGGCTTTCACTGACAACAAACAGCTGGCTACAGCACATGTGCCACAGGTTCGCCATCACCGCTCTAAGACCTACATCCACGGCTCCACTTGTCTAGATCCTCTCAAGTAACACAATTCCTAGACTTACACACACACACACAAAAAAAAAAAAAAAAAAAAAAAAAAAACTTTCTGCCTCAAATTCTTGCTCCAAGTACTAATACATTCCCATTGTAGGGCCAATTTTGATTTGTTCTACAGAGGAGCCAAACATTCAGAGAAACAACTTCTTGTTAGAGAGTGACAGGTGATGTGTAAAGTGCTAATTACCATGTTTACACGAATCCCTGTTGCCGTCATGGAGAGGAGGTATCTGATGGCAGGGCTCAGCGGCTGTCCACAGTCCAGGGTCCACATCTGCAGACTGAGAGACATCTGTCTTGAAGACTCCTTGATTTTCACCAGTCCTCAACGAATCCGAGTTAGGTGTGTGAGTGGGGCAAGCGGCATCTTGGTAGATACCTGATAGGCTCGGTTTACTGAACACATTAAGTGACATCTGTACTAAAGCTTCATTGACGAAGAATGAATTTTCATGCCACAAACTCTCAGATCGATTAAGTTCCACTGCCTGTATAAAGAAATACAGAAAAATTATAATAATCTCCCAGCAACCTAAACAAGTTTTGTACAGTATGTATTTCTAACAGAATCTAGCAATGGAGATTTCAGTAAGAGGGAAGTCAAGAAGAATGTTACCACTTACTCTCCCTTCCCATCTGCTTTAATGAGCTAGATGCAAACACTTTCAGTCACTATGCACTGTATCTTTTTTAAAAAGTAGTGCTCTCTGCCATGAAACAGTTTCACATTAAATCACAGAAAGTATCATGTCTACTTCTGCTAAATAAAAGAAGTTGAAAATATACCCATGTAAATGTGAGGAATTTGCACCAAATGTATTTAGTGAAAAAAGGAAACAGTGCAACACAGTTCTTTCTTAGAAGCTTATGAATTCTTACAACTTTATGCACACACGCAGTGCACAGAGTGCAGAAAAATAAACTTTTGGGACAAATGGAGTGGGCAACATGGTTGGAGAGAATGCAAAGGAAACAGAATTCTCTGAAAGGTTTTATTCTATTTGGTCATTAATCAGCACAACTCATGACCATTATTAGCAAAAGGATTCTGAATTTACCATATCCAGTTCACAAAGTAAGAACTGCCTTGTCATGACACAGCAGTGTTATGTTTGCTCTCTTCGGCACTTAGAGTGTAATCTGCTAAAAGGTACATGTGTCATTGAATACGGAAGTTTTCTTTATCAATAAGAACAGATCGTATATACAAAAGGTCCCTAAAATAAAGGAGATACAGCCTGCTCACAATCACTGTCCCCCAGGACCAACCCACTCCGATCTTTGTAGGACAGTTTGGTCCGCGTTCCCTCTTTAGGGTGTCTCAGAGTAAAATGACCCATTAGGAACCAGGCTTTTAAATTTTCCATATTTTAGGTCAAGATGTTCAGGCATCATTTCTAAAAGCTCTCAGCTTTGACTGTCTACAGGTTGAGACAGCCCTGGGAGCCCCTACACGACCCGCCTCAGGTGTTTGCTAAGCCGCCAGAGTGAGCAGGGGAGAGCCTACCTCCCTGCTCCCAGAAAGGAAGGGTGGGAAGGCTGCGGGGAGGCTCCTCTGCCGGGTGTGCCTCCAGGGGCCCAGCAGGCCCTGCTGCGCGCGCATCCTCTCCTTCTCCTGCTCCACCAGGCGCTGGCCCTCCCTCAGCCGCTCCAGGTTCTGCTGGTACTCCTGCAGCTGGTGGTCCAGCTCGCCGCGGTTCCTCAGCAGCAGCTCCTCCTGGGACTGGCACTCCCGCTCCCGCGCCTGCAGCCAGCTCTCCCTGGCCTCCTGCTCCCGCTGCTGCTGGGCACAGGTACGCAGCCAGCGCCTCTGTTCCTGCTGCAGCTGGTGCTGGAGCTTGTGGACGTCAGTGAGCTCTTCGCGCTGCTTCTCCAGGGTACGGGACTTGTCCTGGTCCTGCAAGGGGCTGCCCAGGAAAGAGTGGCCAGAGGCCAGGCTCTCCTGCTGCTGAAGGACCAGATTGTGGATCTCAATGTGACTATCCTGGATGGTCAAGGCAGCCTGCAGGGCAGAGGAGGACAAAGGAATGAAGGCAGGCATCCTGCTGTGTACCCTTTGGGTTGGAAGTGCTTCTATACACAAAATGCGAAACACAACTCTTTTCTCTTAACGTTCTGCCCTTTTTCCAAGACACATCCAAAGACAGACTTTGGCATTTCAAGTAGGCTTCTCCGTATTTCATATGGTAGGACGTAGGAATTTATATAGAGAAGAAATAAAGCATAATAACAATCCCACTATTCTTGGTATCTGAAAGAGGTTGCTTCTAGCTTCTCATGAATGCCAAAATCCAAGGATGCTAAACTCCTTATATAAAACGGCTATGTTCATATAACCAGCACATATCCTTTAAAGCATCTCTAGATTACAAATACTACCCGAGACACTGCCTCTGCATATTTCATTCACCAAGACTCAGTGTAGTACTTGGAAAAACAGCAAGTCAAGTTTTGCTTTTTGGGAACTTAAAAAAGTTTTTCTATCCAGTTTTGTTTTAATCAGAGGATTCAGGACCTGGATCTAGTGAAGGCTGATTGTACTCATCTCTTTGGGAAATGAGACTACTAGTTGCTGGCAATTGATTACTATTTAAGTAGGACCTGAGTAAGAACTCACAACACAGAATCACAAGACAAGACTCTACTCTTGCTCCCTATCTCATTGTCTTCCTGAAGTCTCCCCAGGCAATAATTCACGGGAATTTAAGGATCAATATAAACCTAAGGATATCCTTTGAGACCCCAAAGACACATTGTTGGGGATACAAATGTTGCTTTCATGAAGACATAAAAATAAGTCAACTATTCGGAGACTTTGGTAAATGATCTTTTTATAACACAATGTCAGAGAATAGCTGCAAATGTTATTTTTAAGAGATACATAAGTGGCGAAAGCTGGCCTCTTTGCTGTTTTGCATTTATAGCAGGAAGAACCTGCATCAAAAACTAAGCTGAAATTCATTTGTTTAATAGATTGCTAACAGGAGGCTGGAATGATTAAGAGAAAATAGATACTCTAAATCCCAGGGGACATTACCAAACAGATTAAAAAACATTTTGAGTCACAGTATCTGCCTATGAGAAGTTTGGCAACATCACAGGAAATAATTGCCAAGATTTGGAAAGATGCCACTAAGAAAAAAAAAAAAGTCTCCTAGAACATGCTTGGAAGCTTTTTAATTTTAAAAGTTCCCATTTAAAGTGCAAAAAATATAGAAGGGACAAACTGAAAATGGACACATAGTGGGTATGTGTGTCCCCTTTGACTCAGAATGAAAAAATCACTACTCTCCCAGGAGTAAATTCACATTTTTTCTTGCTGTCCATGTAACAGAGGTTGAAAAGAAATGGATTTGACTACCAATTCTTTGTTAGGTCAGAAGTTTAGTATACTTCTGAAAGTTAAAGGAAGTTAAATTCTTATGCAATTTCAGATAAGGCTGAAAATGTATTTACTGGAATCTTTTGAAATAAAGTACATATTTTTTGAATTTGAAAATTAATTTCAAACATCCAGGCTCACTTGAATATTTGATTAATGGTTTATAGAGGTTGTTATAGAAAACATTGATTATCATCGAAAATAGGTACTAATTACTGTGCTTTCTAAATATAAATAATTAACATATAATAAATTAGAAATCACTCAGGATTCTGCTGGCCTGGCAGAGCATATGGTAGACTGTACACTGTTACTAATTCCAATAAGTTAAGGGCAACAGTTTGGTAAAACAAACAAAAATTCAAATTTTACATGTCAAAATTACACAGGCAGTTGATAACTCGCATGTAAAGATTATAATTAGAATAATTCATGCCTAGTTAACATTTGGAATGAGATCATTCTAGAATATTCCATGGTAGAGTGGTAGAATCTGAAGATTGGATATTCTTTTCCACACTTAAAGTTTACACTTATATTTAGAACAGAGAATCACACTTTTTGAGCACTTCCCAACTCATCTTCTCTTCACTTTATTTTGCTAGCATGCTTCTATGTCTTCCTTTTTGCCTTGTCTCTATTTCTTCTCTCATTCTCCTCTCCTAATACAGGGATCCAATTTCATTTTCATCTAATTCTGACATGGCTACGCGAAAACTTCAAGCGTGCATACAAGACTCCATTTATAAGGAGATGACTGCTGTGAACAGATATCTCCCAGAGCCTAAGAGCTCAGACCAACTCAAAAGCTTCAGTTAACAGAATCCACTGTAGACTTTGATATTCCCAGGTGGCTTCAACCTAATGTGTTGCAAAAATTAGGTCATTTAGGTCACTGGACTTTTGTGAAACTAAAATTCACACAGAGCCGCCTTCAGGGTTGAAGAACAGAGGTGATGTGAGTGTTTTTATCAGGCAACAAAAGCCAGGATGCTAGATGTTTTCAACCTCCAAGAGTTAATGGACTGTGCTCCAACTACATGCATCCCTCCTACTTTGACATTTGAAGGAAAGCATATTGGTTTTAAATGATAAATATATCTTCATGAACATTTCCCTCAGACCAGCAAATCTGATGAAAGACACTAAAGGCATTCCCGTGAAACTGGGAACAACTGTTAGTTATCACATTTTCAGAAGTTCTTGCTAAAGCAATAAACCAAGAAAGTGAAATTGATATAATTACTGAAGAATAGCCATAATACCATCACTTTCCAACTTTTATTTCCCAACTGAAATACTCTAAAGAATCAATGAAAAAACTATTAAAATAAAAAATGAAGGTTACTGAAGTTGGCCAGCTACAAAAGAAATGTATAAAAACTATTAATTTTTTTATATAAATAATAACCATTGGGGAAATTACACATGTAAATGTACATACTATCTGTAAGAAGACAACTGTAAATCTTCCCAACAAAACATAAGAGATAGCTGATCTATATTCTTAGGTAGGAGAACTGCCTATGGCAAAAAGTGCCAATTGTCTCTAATTTAGTTTATAATTATAGTAAAATATCATTTTTATTGTTATTTCATTTCATTTGGCAAGAGGTAAGAAATTTGACAAAGTGATCCAAAAGCTCTTGTAAAAGACTCGGGCTGGGGATTTAGCTCAGTGGTTCCACTGCCTGCCTCGCAAGCAAAAGGACCTGAGTTCAATCCATGGTACTCAAAAAAAAAAAAAAAAAAAGACTATGTAATACATAGAAAAATAATAAAAGGAGACTACGCTGTCATATATCCCAACATCATCCAAAGTTTTAATACTTAAGAGAGTGGTCATAAAACAAGAATAGGCGTATGATAATGAGAACATCAGACAAAAGCATTTTGATACAGTTGAAGGATAAATAAGAAAGCACAGTGTAGCACAACTTTACATTTCCTGATGAAAACAGACTATTTTCTCTTAATATTCAAAAGGTATAAAATATGCAATATGAATGAATGATAGACCAATGAGAGAAGAGAGTTTAGTCTCACTAGTAACCAAAGAAGCACAAATTAAAATAATCAGACATCGTGACCCATTTTCAAAGTGAGGACAGAGTTTATTTAATTTGATTATTTTTGCAATGTTCATTAAACACCTAAAAAACCCAAATTCTTGTAGTTTAGCCCAAGAAATATTCAGACACAGTCAAAAGGAACATTAAAGTCAAAAGGATTGACATACAAGACTGTCCATATTTTCTAGGATTAATAATACAAGAAATAAAGATACTTTACAAGAAGTAAAGAATACGGGGTTTGACAAATTCCATAAACTTGAATATGATATGTTCATTAAAAATCATGCTTATAGACTAATAGCTGGTGACGTTTTCCTTGAGAGATGAAAAGCCACTCGAGGCCAGGCTCTGGGGCCATTTGTTTTCACGGTCTCAGCCCTCAGCACAGGGCCCCCACAGAGGGGGGACGTGAAAGATGTGGGGTGGTAAATGCACAGAAGCAGGAAGGTGTCAACTGCTCTTAAGGCCTAAGGCCACACATGGAAATGGAGAGTGTGGGTGTGAATTTAAGTTTTCACCAGAAACATGAAGCTTCTCACTACACTCACCTGAGAGTGTCATCATGAACATCAAGCCAGAGCATGATCGTCACTACTTTTGAAAGATATGAACTGCTTTATGGTTTCTGAGAAGAAAGGTGTAAATCAAATAGTGGTGTTGCCCCGTGATTACAAATCCAGGTGAAGTTCAACTCATCAGGCGGAATTACACTTTGGGGACTGGCATTCTTCTAAAGTCACTCACTACTTCTCAAACATTCTGATTCTTAAAGTCTGGGAATCATCCAAGTGAACAGCATGAGGAGAAACATTCACAAAGCCAAACATTAGAGGAGGGTCATTACCTGCAGGCTATATAAGAGGCGAGTTAAATTCTGTATAGCTTGTATAATCTGAAAAATAAGATTGCATGGGTCAAATTAAAAAAAAAAAACTCTCATTAGCCACAAATTGAGAAAGGATGGTGATATATTTAAAGCAAGCATCACTCACCTCTGACTGTGAAGAACCTGGAAAATTTCTACAGTCCACCTACAACACACAAAGGCAGAAGGAAATGAATAGCCACTCTACTTTTGCAAAGCTACACTTAGTTCTCCCAGCCTGTGATCCTCACTCTCTCTAAACTCAGTGACCTCATCCACAGTTTCTCTGTCTCCTCCCTGGAAAAGGACCCTGTGGGGATCAACACCCACTTGACAGGGAGCGCTGCCCTCATGAAAACCTGGGGTGAGCAGAGCAGGGAGGCCACAGGGACCCCCTTCATACCAGAGGGGGACAGTGAGGAAGATGTGCACACTCTAAGGGAGCTGGATATGCCCAGGCAGTGGTGCCTCCCCGGCCAGGCTGATGTCTTACATCCTGGCAGCTGGATTTGGAGGCTAGGAGACATAGAGCCAGGCCTCGAGCTCCCTGTCTCAACATCTGGGATTTATAATGACCAACTAGCCAGTGACTGAGAAAATAAAAGGACCCAGAAACAGCCCACAGGGGACACTGAGCTGGACTCCTCCGATCCTACCGCACCTGGAGTTCATGGGCCAATGCAAAGCCCACAAATGATGCCACAGGTCCACCTGCTGCTAAGGATGGGTCCGTGTTTAGTATTTTGTCTCTCTCACAGCACACATGCAGGGAACGTGTGGGTTCTGAGGGTTTTCAGAAACCAGAATTGGATTATACATTTGTTTAATCACTTATTGTCTGTCTTCTCTCACTCTGATGTGAGCTACAGAGCAGTGAGACTTTATCGATGCATTCAATACTATATCTGCAAAACTAAGTGATGCCCGGGATGCCGTGAACCCTTAAGAAGTGAATAATGGTCTGGACCTGGTGGCACTCCATCGGTAAATAAGTACCGATCACCCACCGTAAACCCCACGCCTTGTGCTATGGGCCATCGCCACATTCCTAGTCCTCCAAGTCCGCAGCCTCCACGATGCTGCTTGCTTTTGTCTGAGCAGATCTCATCGTAAGCTGTAAGAGGCAGTCAGCCTGATAATGTAACTCTCATCTTAAGCTAAATGCAACTAGTTCAGGCTGATAATGAGCTACCTAGATTTCATTTTTCCTCTTCCGTCACAATTAAATATTTCATTCCTAAGAAGTCCTTGGGATAGAGAAAGAACAAAGGCTGAAAAGGAGATAAACTTTAAAGCACTAGATCTGTGTCCGACCCTCTGGAAGACACCAGGACTAAGACTCCCTGGCTTGTACTGAGTTTTTGGAGTGCTCAGTTTTCTTCTGATACTGTCCGTGCCTATTGACATATGCTTGCATTTGCGGTGAGACCGCATGGTATTAACTTTTATACTCCATAAAAATTAGACATGTAGAAATGAGTAGGATTGTGCTACATGTAGATACATGTACCAAGAACCAGTAGGTTTAACATAAGGCCGGGCGAGCACACTATCTTTTTTAATGGAGTTGGTCTGCCACCTGGTGGTCTAAGTGTGTAGCTGCATCTGGCGTTTTACACAGGATTTCTGTTTGGGTCACAGATTTGTTTCTTTCAGAACTTTGCTTTAGTCTTAACCTATTAAAGGAGCTAATGACAAATATCTATGGCACACTTTTTAAAAGTTTAATTTCAAGTAATATTTTCCTATATCTCAGTTTGTTCAGTTTTTCAAAATGTCTTATTAAGGGTCAAACTTTCCAGAAAGGTTGATTAAAACAGAAATTTAGACAGTCTCATGTATCCACCTGTGTCTGAATTGGGGGTTGGGTTCACCACAGCTTTCCGTCCAAGATAAAACCATTACTGAGCAACTTGCTTACTTGCTTTCTTTTCCAAAAAAGTTGAAAACTACCAACCTCAGACTTAAAAGTGAAGTCTGAATTTTAAAAACATAGAAAGCAGGAAGAGTATGACAAATAAGTTATAAATCTTACAATCGGATAAGTAGGGTAAAATATTGCACTCCCACATTCACTTTTTATGACGTTTAAAAAGAACACAGCAGTCTGGTCCATGGATTTTCTTAATCCTTGGACTTGGATTCTCTGCTATATGTAACGCTTACAAAAAATATAATATGCAAAGTATGTTGCATCTATAAGAGAAGATCTGATATATGTTTCATACACACACACACACACACACACATACACACACACACACACATTGGTACATTTTAGTATTTGGTAATGGACTTAATTCAATTCTAAACAAAGCCAAATTCCCAAACCCCAAACAGCCCTGAGAAGGCTGACTTGCCACCTCCCAGAATCATAGTTTTATTCTTTCCCTATTTATGAGTTAACAATTTCACTTGAAGTTAGTAGGAAATTGTAGGTATTTAATTTTAAAAGGAGGTATGAGCCATATATATAGCATGTTGAAAAAGAAGTGGTAATTGGAATACTCTTGTTTTTGAAAGCAAAAGTTAGTCTCATGAATTAAAAAATCTATAAAAAGTAGTAAAAATGTGAGTGGTGACAGGAAAACAATTGAAAAAGAATAGAAGGTCAAGGAAGGAGAAAGAGAAAAGATATCTCAAAGTCAAAACAACTTCAGCTATGTTAGTGCCACATGACTCTGTCCGATGCCCAGAGCTCCTCTCAGCAAGAGGTACCAGGCGGACAGGGGGAGGTGTGCAGTGAGGAAAGTAAAGCCCAGAAGCCAGAGAGCACAGACAACATATACATGTAAGAGTTTTCAACCTTTTTTTAATAACTTTTCAATTGTTTCTTTGATTACACCTGTACCGTATAGGAAGAACAAGAACATTTAAAGAAGAAGTGTTAGAAAGCTTAGATATGAATATTGAAATTAATCAAGAACAATCCAGAAAAGCACTTTCATTCCACTCACTGTCACTGACAAAGCAGGACCTAGGGCTATTGCATTATACAAAGAAACCAGGGATGTTCACTAACAAATGGTTAACAATACCTTCTCCCCTGCATCAGAGACTGCCAAGTCGGTTACCACACCCTGGGTCCTGGGATCCATATCCCAACAGCCTCTTCCTTCTGTCCCTTCTGTTACTGGTGCTGGAAGCACACCATTAAGACAGAAACAAAAAGGACAACATCAAAAGTCAGCCAGCCAGTGGGGACCCTCTGTACACAGCCGACACACACTTGGAAATAAGAAACATCTCCAGTAGTACACACTGAACATCCGTACACAGGCGTAAAGGAGCATCAGGTCTACAGTCCCTGCCCACATGGAGCTTACACACTAACAGACCCCAGACTGAGAAATGGCATAAACGAACCCCCAGCCTTGGTGCTTGCTTCTTTCTTGTACTTACACCTTCATGTGCTGTTTGCGGTATAAGGGGGGAGATTCTCCATCTCACTTCCACTTATAGGAAAGAGCCTCATGGAAGGGTGGCAGCGAAACAGGCACGGCTGAGGCTGAGCAAAACTGGGGGCCATTGGCAGAGCCGGGTCTGTGCCAGGCTCCACTGGGCCAGTGTGAGAGGAGCGGACAGTAACTAGGGCCAGGGGAAGGCAGGAGGGAGACATCATTCTGAACAGGCTGCAAGTGGCTAATGCTTTATGGCTTCGGTCACACAAACAAACTGAGAACCCATCCCACTGTCTCATCATTTCCAACTGTGTCTTTTTCTCACATTTCTTCCATATTCTGTAAACTCATAAATTCTGTAAATACTGCATATTTGAACTACGAAAACACAGAAACAAATCCAGAAATATCTTTAAGTACCAAGTACAAGTTTCATTTCATTAAATCTCAGTCTTAGCAAGAATTGATTATATACCCATGTGAACTCAGTGGAAGTTTACAGTATGCCACCTTGCACTGAGGAAACTGGACTTCTCACAGCCCATTCACCCTGTCTAATCAGGACCCTGCTGAGAAAGATATTCACTTTACACATTTATAAACTTCCTCATCCGGTGTCATCTTGAAACTTTCTTTGGTACCGGGGATCGAATTAAGGACCTTGTGCTTGTGAGGTAGGTGTAGCACCACTGAGCTAAATCCCCAGCCCTTGAAATTTTATTTCTGGTGAAGGAAATAGTTTTTCTCTTTGTTTAAATTAACAGAAATACTTATATCTTTGAAAAATAAGAGTTGTCTAGGACTCCAAAGATGTCTTTTAAAACAAAGTTTTATTGTTGAAGTAGAAACTGCTTCAAATGATAATAGCTAAAAGTCAAGTTCACTGTGTGCAGGGTACTCACTGAAAATGAAGGGACTTTTTATAGAAATTTTTCTGTCACTTAAAAAGTGGTTCCACTTCTGGGTGCCATTCCTAACTCGTACAGAGATGCCGAAAGCATCACCCTATCATCGGCCACTCCCTTCCTCTTCTCCCTGCCTCACAGAAACGGGGACAATCCAGGGTGAGCAGAAGCCAGACTTGCCATAAGAGAGCAGAGCCTGAATCAAGTTCTCTCTCCCCATGGCCCATTCCAGAGTGGAGGAGAAGGTCTCCAGCAGACCAAATTTCACAAAGCTACACTGCACTCATCCCCGAGATTAAGTGCACTGGGACTGAGAACAGGGCTCTGCTTGGCTTCAAAACTCAGCCTGACTTGGGCTTCACAGGTAAGGACCCATCCCTTAAAGCCAATCGCAGAACTGACCCATTCAGTTGTGGCCTTCATTTGGGAACAGTCTTGCTCCCTTAGCACCTTTATAAAGAGAATCGGCCTCTTCTGGCACCACATTCCAATCCAGCCCAGAACAGAGAGGCCTTTGGAGGAACAGGACCCTACCACTTGCCCTTGTAGCTCCTCTACCTGCACCCTGATATGGAGCTGCTCTGGTTCTAGCGGCCCCTTGGAGCTGTCCCAACAACAGAAGATGTGGATGCAGACAGAAAACTCTGCCTGCCTGGCCTGAAGGAGGGAGGAAGGAGGGGAGGTCCCGTTGCTCTGAGCAGCTGCAGGCCGAGCGGAGCCTGCCCAGCTGTCCTTGGGGTGAGGACGAATGCATGGAGCCCTATGTGTATTTTTAGACAGAACTTCCTCAATGGCACAATGAGGTTCTTCTTGTAAAGGGAAATCACCCAGGGCACTACGATTCCCCTGATGAATCCAGGCTGTGCTGAAATGAAAAGCATATGTGCACATTCTGAAAATAGAAACCCAAGATTAGATAAAGCAGAACTTGAGAGGGGAAAATAATGATTGGTGTTTTAAGAAATGTATAGAATATTTAAAAAAACCACCATATAGAGACCAAGGGATGTTGGTAAAGAAATGATAAAATCATACAATCTTCCAAGCCCTAGCTTCTGATGATGTTTTATCATATGCATACAGGAACTTTTGAAAGTAAGGTTTTTATCACCACTCCTTGAGAAAAATATGCTCTTTATTATCTTTGAATCTTTTATGGCTTAAAACTATACATACAACAGTATAATTGGGTTCCAAGAAATGACCTGAACCAATTCATTAGTCTGTATTTAAAATATATTGAGGGGCCAGGAATTTAGCTCGGTGGTTCCACTGCCTGCCTCGCAAGCGCAAGGTCCAGAGTTCAATCCCCAGTGCCAATAAATAAATAAAATACATTGAAATGGCGATTTAATGTAATTCTCCCTTCCATCACTGGGGCCCAAACTCAGGACCTTGTGCAGGCATGGCGCCACTGAGCTAAATCCCCGGAGCTTTAATACAAATTTTGATCCACATTAAAGTGTATAACACATATCAAAATCTTGGCAATTCTGCTTTGGCCACACAACCAAACCATGTAGGGAAGGGGAAGGTGGGAAAGAGACTGATTTTAGGGTTCTGAGCTACGTTTTTCTCAGATGATGCTCATGTGATTAAGTTTAAGGGCATGTTCTCTAACGGACTGCAGAGATCCTTCTTTAAAAAAACAAATTAGGTTTAAGGTTTAAGAGTCCTTTCAAAATTGTATGCAGTACATCAGGGAGCGGTTTGAGGGAAGGGCGAGACACCCACCAGCCTCTGTAAGGTCCTATCCTTTGAACACTGCGCCACCAGTGTATGGAAACCAGCTCTCATCAGTCCTCTCTAATTTAAAAAAACACATTTAGTCTCCTCCCAGCAGGGAAAGAGCCCTTGCTTTCATTGCACGCCACCACACCAGGCTCCCCGCCAGCGCTTGAGTCTTCACTTACAGGCAGGGGGTGGCCCTGGGGCGCCAGAGCCCAGCTCTTCGCTGGAGACAGACTCTGGGCCGCCAACCTCCGACGACTGACTCCCGTCTCCCATCTGCCAGGCCTTCATAGCAACTTGCAGACTCTCCGCTAGGAAGCAAAAAAACAAAATTAAATTCAAAGAGCACATAGACGTGTATCTGGCAAATTGCACTGGCCTATGCTTGTTTTTGTATGGCCCAGGAGCTGAATGTTGATTTTCTGCTTTGAAAGGTTGCTCCTGTGGGTACTCGAGTGAATAGGTCCTTGAGGCAGCAGGATTGAGAAGCCTAAAATATTTACCATCACCCTTTATAGAAAATGTATGAGGATCTGCCATCGAAATCAATACTTCCAGCATCATTTTGCAATAGGGAATTAGCACATTAAAAAGCGAAAGCCCAATGTATAAAACGATCTCAAAGGCAACTTTCAGTAAATTAATATGCTAGAAAAATTTCTAGACTTCAATTAATATAATTTGCTATCAGACATTAGGAATTTTAAAGCTGTTATTCAGAAATATTAGCTATTCTTCAAAAGAGGATTTTTCCAAACTTGCCCTTAAAAATACGGAGACCCAACTCTCATCTTGGCCTCCTGGATCAAACTCTCCAAAGATGAGACTCAATGTTTGAATCAAGCTCTCACGAGTGCTTAGGAGACACCACACCAAGAAGACCGAGTCTTCGTTTACAATAAAAGGGCTTCAAATCGAATGTGGGTGAATAGAATTGTGAGGACCTGACACACAGTTCTAAAACACTCTTTGCAACTATTTGATTCATAAAACGCTCTCTGATTGTCGCCTCTGCTCTAGGCCTAGGCTTCTGATAGGGAAGAAAGGAAAGTTTATGTAAACATCGCTGTCTCTTTAACATCAAGGCCCACGCCAGGTGCTCGGTGAATGTGGGACAGATGTGCAGCGAACGAACAGCTCAGTCCACGGCCCCACTGCAAACACCCTGCACCCTTCTTAAGACCGCGCTTTCCTCCACTGTGAGATAAAGTAGGCTGAGCCTGACTTCTCAGTTCCCGCCCACATTGAGTGCTCCGAGATGCTAAAGCAGCACTCAGCTTCTGCAAACAACCAGGCAGTTGCTATTGCAGGGTTTGCAAGCCACACAGATGCTCAGAACTGCTCATCTCTGCTGTGCTGGGAAGAGGCCCCGGACACAGCACACACACAAGCAGGCGTGGCTGTGTGCCCTAAAGCCACATCTGCACACATGTGGGGGAGATGCTTAGTCGTCCGGGATCCCTACCTTACCAGCCCCTCGTCTGCACAGCTGCAGCCTCCTCATGCAGGTGGTGGCTACTTCATCACCTCCTCGCCGCCATCACTGCTAGACCATTATCCTCATCTCTCCCTTAGCCTTTCTCCTTTGGGGCCACGGCCATCAGATCCCAGCCCTGGCTGCCCCAACCTGTTGCCCTCCACCTGCAGGTCCGCCTCTCACCTGCCTCTCCTGCGGACCCACATATGGACACGAGTTCTGTCCCTGCCCATTCCTCAGTAATTTCAGTTCTACCGTACCCTTCCACTACCATGACCTCTCATCTCCTTAACATTTTGTTTCCAAAGGTCTTTCTGAGCTTGGCTGCCACCTGCCACACTTTAGGGCCTCAACTTTGTCACTACCAAGATCTATACTTTGCCTCCTTAGAACCTGTTCTCCACACAGAGGGTTCCTTTTACACGTCGAGTCCCTCCCTCCTCTATTTAAAATCCATAATGCTTCCCATCTCACTTGGGATGAAGAGCAAAGTCCTTTCTTTGGTCCACAGAATCTGAGAGCTGGAGTTAACTCCTTTCCTGCCACTCCCCAACTCCCAAACCTCACTTTATCTGCACTACCCTCCTTACAATTTGTCAAGCAAGCCTGGCACTCACCAGCCTCGGGGCCTTTGCACCTGCTATTTCCTATGTCTGGAACACTCTTTCCCAGGGTACCATTTGGTCTCCTCACTTTCTTCATGTTTGCTTACATATCAAAGAGGCCTTTCTTGCCCACCCTATCTGCAAAAGACCCACCTCAACTCTGTTACCCTCTACCCCCTTGCCCTATTTCATATCTCTTCATGTCCGTTGGTATAACCTGACATTTTTATTTCTTTACATTTTACTGTTTCTAGAACGTAAGTTGTAATAAAGGAAGGACTCTATCCTGTGCTGCTGTATCCTCAGCACAGAGACCCCAACACATGGCACTTGGTGGGTGCTTAATAAACGTTTCCTGAAGTGGACAAACCATCCCTTCCAAAGCAACTCACTTTCTTTCAGTGCTGCTGCCAGCAAGGAGGCAGCCTGGGGAGGCTCTCCGGGGTCAGGTCGAATGAGGAGGTGGGGTTCTAGATGAACATCTTCAAAGCCATTCAGTTCCCCAAGTTCAGCATAGATATGCAGCTTATCCTCCAAATACGTGCAGATCTGCTGGTCTTGGTTACTGAGTATCTCTAAGAAACAGCATTTACCATAGCAAGTTATTAATATGAATACAACAACTGATAGGCACAAATTGACATCCCAAATTATGACAGAAAGTTGCTGCCACATGACAAGCCATCTGATCTAATGGTAAGCCCATGTGTTTGGGCAGAGCAGACCCCGATTCAAATCCTGCCTCTTTCACTTAGCAAACGACTTAGCAGCTCTCCCACCTCCACTGCACTTGATGACTGTTCATTTTCTTTTCCATTCCTCTAATCCCAGAAAACCTGGCAAAGCTATGCTTTATTTATACAGACTGTTTCCTGTTAAGACTAAACACCCTGCTCAGGAATGAAAATGAAGATAGCCCTGAACAGGATGAGAGAATGCCCACAAGGGAAAACAAGGCAAAGGCCTGAAACTCCTGGGGCTTCAGCTAGTCTTGGTGAAAACCAAACACAAGGGCTTATGTTTTTGCTTCTAAACATCTAATTTCTTTGACCATCTCTGCATGATTACCAGCCTCATATTTCAACATGTTACAGAATTCTTACAGCTCAGAGGCCTTAATCAGCAACTTCGCTAGCAGTCCTTGGTGCACCTCAGAATCATGTGGGGGAGTTCAAAACACTCATGCCTACACCCCACAGCCCAAAGATTCCAATCTGGATGAGTGAGGGGGCCTGGGTATCAGTAACAACCTCGCTACATGATTCTGATGTCAAGCCAGAATTGAGAACCACCAAACTAATCTTATTTCGTAACTTCACAGATTTGCATTCAATGGACAGACCTGCCGGTTCCTTGTCAGTCATACAACCATGACCAGAGAGTGCTGCAACCGAAATTTAAAACCATCAGCCAGAAATGCCCATGCTCCCGGGCCCCAGCCTGCCCCCACCTATCATCTAGGATCAGGTTGTTCTCTGGAGAGTGACCGGGCAGGGCCTCAGGTACATGCAGTCGTTCAGTAATGAGCTTTCCTTCACGACACCAGAGCTCTCCCAATCCCCAGAAGCACAGCCAGGGAGCCAGATGGGCCCACCCCGTACCTTGACACTGCAGAATTCTGGCCACTCTGGCTTCGGCTTTCCGCCTCTCCTCATCAGACTCACTTGTCCTTCCCCCTTCTTCTTCTGGGCAACTTCAAAAGACAGCAATTGAGAGATACAACAAAAACTAAATCCAAGTATCTTTAGGCTCATTTAAAAAATAGGGTGACTAGGTAAGGGAATTATTCATAAAGGTAAAAAAAATCTGCATAAAGAGAACCATCAAGCCTCCTGGCCTGGCCAAGAGAGGGATCTCCCTGAGTGTATAAAGGATCTTCCACAGTAAACACAACATGGCTCTAAAAGTCAGTAGTGTAGAGTGACTCAAATATTCCAGCAAACACACACAAACGAATACACATAAGCACACACAGACCATCCTGGCATTAAGTACAGCTATGATACTAATTCTTGCTCTTTACAATATCTGGGCACTTGTATTCTCAAGGGTGGAAAGGTGGAAGGGGTTAAAGGGATGGGAGCAGGGCACCATATTGGGTGAAATGCAGTGGAAGAAGAAAAATTTCATACAATTTCCAGATCCAACTCATCAAATTACCTGTGAGAATGATCACAACCTCTCTTGCACCCTCATTTACAAAAACTGTCCTTGAAAAGTAATGAGGAACAAATTAACTTAGACATTTATTAAGTGATTCCTCAGTACGAGGCACACAGAGAAACATAGGGCCTCGTCCCTGCTCTCAAGGAGCTTCCAATCTAATGACATAAACACATGTGTGCATATATACATAAAGACAGGAGCTACAGGGCAGTGTACGGTGAGCACCAAATAAATGCCTTAGGGAGTAGGTGCTAAAGCATTGCGGGTACAGAAGAGATCACACAGACTGAAGAGGTCTTCGTGAGGTGGGGGAGGCAGGAGCTGCACCAAAGGTCCAGGTGGTGGGGAGGGGAGGGCGCTGCATTCGGGGAGGTGAGCGGAGGGCAGAACTGCAGGTGAGGGGCTCCCGAAGGCAGGTAGGGGCAGGGACAGGGAGCAGACTGCTCTGGCTGAGGCAACATTTCACACAGGGGAGACATGGTTAGAATATTTCCCTGGCTGAACGTGTCCATTCCATAGACTCCTGGCAGAAATTATGTTACCTTTCTACGGCCTGTTGGATCTGCCTCATCCAGTTATTCCGTTCCTCCTTGGAGTTGGTGTGGATTTCATACATCTCAGGACCAGCAGATGAAGCACTGATCAGAAACATTCCTCTCTCTTCATTAGCAACTTCTCTAGCAATGAGCTTCTGAAGGGAAATAACTGACGGCTTCTGATCCTACCAGAACGAAGAGAGTGTGCAGATGAAGCAGCACCCACTAATGACAGTCATCCCCCAAACCCACAGGCCCAGAAAGCAGCAGGGCTACAGAGACCATCATTTCCTCTTGGGCCTTTTCAAAAGAGTAGCAGAAGTTGCTGAGATCTCCATCAGAGAGAGTGGAGAGAAGAAAGGATGGAGACACAGGGTTGAGGGGAATGTGCATCCTTAAAAATAGTGGTTTCAAAGAACCATTTCTTAAGAGACAGAAAAACCAGAGAGGTAGAAAAAAAGTATCAAAATACTGTGGTCAAGAGAGAAGGGATTTTGAAGACTCGCCAGGTAAACAGTCTATGAAATATTACAAAGAGATTGAGAAGGGTGAAGAGTAAAAAAAAATCTATTGGGGTGCCAGGGATTTAGCTCAGCGGCAGCACACCTGCCTGGAAATTTCATGCAAGTTTCTGAGTTCGATTCCTGGTACCAAAACATAAAAAGTCTATTGTGTTTGGCTATTTATAGAAATTCAGTTTCAATTCAGTAATAGAAACCGAACTCCAGAAATTTAGGAGATAGACTATAAGACACAAGGTAAGAATGAAGAGGCAAGACCTTCGATTCTCTGGATTTATCCAGCGCCTCTGCTATAGTCCTGCAGACCGCAACAACAAAACTACAGTGCTGCTTGTAGGTGTCTCTTCTCACCAACCAGATGAGTCCTTGGTGGGCAGGAATGGGTCTACTTCATCTTTGTACGCTGAGCACATTGTTTTGCAGAATGAATACTCAGTAATATAAACTAGATTTTAGTAGAATTCCAACCAAGGGAAATAGGAAGAAAGTCTAAAATTTGGTGCCCGTGCCATGATTAAGTCATCTCTTTTACCATTATTTACTGTGGAACTTCAATGCCTCTTGCTGAGCACAAGGAGACTCAAGGATGAGGACAACCCTCATAACACTGATGTGGTTATGGAGCTACAGTTGAAAGCATGGCTAAAAGAATGGCAGCAGAATGAGCAGCGTGGGGGGTAAAGAGGAGGAATCTGCTTTGGTCTGTGGCTTCCACCACTGTTTACAGAGTCAGCTGCAGAGTGTGGTTTTGTTTCCCCCTCAGGGACAGAGTGACGCCTTTATCCAGAACATGGCACTCTTTTCCCCACCCCTGACTTCTTGCTGCTAGCTTGTCTGTCTTCCCAGCATTGCACATCTGTGCCACATCTGGAGCTATGTGCCAGGATGGACCAAGGATACCTTCTTTACATTTCTTAGAATAATATTAAAAAAATATGCATCATGATGGGACAGACTGCTGGTCTACCCAATTCCAGGCTATGTCTCTGTAAGTGGAAGCAGAAAGTTTTGTGGCAAGCCTTCTGGAATACTGCCCTCTAAAGGAGGGAGGTCCTGTGAGCATTACTGAAGCCCCTGTTCTTCAATGGATCTAGTCTCCAAGATGTTATCTGCTTTCCTTGTTTCAGTGCAGTGTTTCATTTTCCTCAGCTTACAAGGTAAATGGCCTCTGTATGTAAAACACAGGGTGGGTTTGAATCAAGATATGCAAGACAGCGAAATTATGTGAACATGTTGGATGGTGTTGGAGGAGGAGGGGAGAGGCACAGTAAGATCTTTCAAAAGTGAAGAATAAATAAAGGGGTAGAAAATAGCATTCATTAAATCATGATCATACCAGGAGGCACCAGAGACACATTCATCATTAGTCACACTCTTCACACATGAACACTAGCAGTGAGCAAGCACTCGAATTCTCGGGAGTGGAGGAAACACATTGGCTTTGGAGGCAGATATCAAACAATGGAGACACAAAGGCCAAACTTGACCTGAAAGTTTTGTTTGTGCCATAGCCCTTTTAAAAATTCTTTTTGAAAGAATAAGATAAGACTATAAGAGCAAGAAACAATTCAAATATGTTCAGGGACCATTTTCATCTCCAGAATTAAGGATTATTTTAATGTTACATCATTGCCTTTTCTCTTTTACTTTCCTTTTTAGTTTTATTTTAGGATTCCCTATTTTTAATGTTCATACAGAGATTTCTTTAATCGAAATACCGAATAGTTTCTCTGGTGTGAAACACTATAATAGTACACAGGATCCTAATGAGATAATTAATAATGTGAAATAGGAAGTAAAGGGCTAAAGGTGTAGGGAAAGTGGGAAGGGTGGGGGAAAGGTAATAAGGAAGAGGAAAAAAATATGAGAAACTGAAAAAATGGAAATACAGTGTTTGTAAATGGGGAGGGGAGGAGGGGGTGAAGGGAGGGCAGGGACAAGGGGAAAAAATGAGAATCAAGATCAATTATGTAAAGGTACCGAATCCCATTGATGAATGTAACTGTATTGTATACCTAGATTGTACCAATAAACTCAATAAAAAGAAAAAAAAAAGAAAAACTCTTTTTGAAATCTGAAATTGGTTCTCAAATTTTAGCAAGAATCACATGAGGAGACATAACATCATTGCATTCTTCCTCCAGATACTCAGGTTTCAATGTTTCAAAATAAAGCCGAGGAATCTAAAATTTTACTGTGTGTCCTCAAGAGATTTTATGTGGTTCTTGGGCCATTTGTTGAGAAGCTCAAGAAAGAGAGAAACTAATGTTAAAATTCAATATTAGGCAAATTAGTAATATCAAAATGCTTTGAGGGTTGCTGTATAGCAGAGTACTTAAATAAATGTGATCTGGAATTGAAAAGCTCCAACTCAAATCTTCACTCTACTTACTTTGACCTCAATCTTTACATTTTCATCTGGAAGTTAGAAGAAAAACATTATCTATTGTCAAAATAAAACATGACAATGTTTGATTGTGAGAATTTACCCAGAGCTTACCATATGTTAAATTCTTAATAAATTATATTTGAAGATGAAAATAAAACTCTTTTTGAAAAAATAAGTTGCCAACATTTAAAAACTGGGAGATTGAAACTTATAAAAATCCCTAAGCTGGGTACATGGGAAAAAACAGAAGATCAGCAATCCCAGGCCCACACTGTCATTTAAAAATACTGTCTATATACCCGAGTAATCACTATCCTCTTTGAGTTGGGACATGGACCTGCTGGTTGACTATAATCTCCCTCACCCTCTGTTGTCTCACAATACTGACTCTGCCTGGGTTCACTCATTTATGTTTCTGCCCAGTCCCTACTGGCATTTGAAGACAAAGGCCTCTGCTGTCATGGAAGAGGGAAGGAGAAGCTGCTGTATCCTTTTTTTTATACCCTATCCATTCTGCGCTGATTCCATCAGTGAGTGATTCCACTGTGATTTTCTTAGGTTGCTTCCTATTTTGAACCTGAACTTGCAGATCTACACATTTATTTTGTCCTTTTAATTAATTTCTGATTGCCGTTTTTTAGTATTCAAGAGATTCTTTGTAGACTCAGTATCCCAGGACTTAGTGAACATATCTACTTTTTCCTATGAATTGTGTAGGTTTGGATCCTACCCCCTATTTTCACATGATCCCTCTTTAAAAACAAAAAATAAAACTCTTATAAGCACAGGACTCTATTCTCTTGCTACCTCCAGATGCTTGTCATCTAGCTAATTCTAGCCACAATGATACAATTTTCACGAAAGGGTGGGGGACCAAGAGATCAAGGGAGGGATAAAGCATAAAGTGAGGGAAAGGGGATAAAAGAAGAATTAAGATGTGTTACATTCATGTATCAATTTCTCATGATGAATTTAATCATGTACTGTAAACATGTACTAATAAAGAGAAAAACAAATTCATATGTCTTCTAGAACACGTAGCAGGATACGCATCTACTAAATAGTAATTGTTCTAAAGGGCACAAAGAATGGAGAATCTCACCATGGGTCCATGGTGAGATTTTTTAACTTTCTAAAAAAAGTAGGGTGGGACCTAGAGAAGTAGTTATTTGTATACCTTTAGCTAACTCCTCAATGCCCCCACTTTGCTCACCCCACTGATGACACAGAGGCTCCTGTCAGATTGACTTAGAGCACATCATCCAACAATATAGTACACTTGACTTTTTAAGGGTAAAATAGTACTTTCTCTTTTGCTCCCTAATATCACTTTTACGTGTTGGCTAACATGTTCCAGCAAACAGTAGCTGCAAAATTTTAATGCGGTCCATAACCAAATACATTCTACCAAGAAGCTGGGGCTGCCTTCATTTTGATACTTGGGAGATTGCATTCTTAACCTCCCATTTAAAGTAAAGTGTGGTCTTGGGTGGTACAGATAACTCTGCAAGGGTCATGACAGATAAGAGGGACAAACACAGATTTGAAGTCATACAGTAAGCTGAGTGTCACAGCTAGATTGGAGTCCATATACTCTATTGTTCTAGAAAACAAGATAGTTGTCTGTATATTGTGTCTAGTTCTTATCATTTAGCTTGTGATACCACCCAAGAAGCAGAATTTGCTTCTCTTTCAGGTCTCTGGCTTTGACAAAATCTCTGTTTCTATAAAGATGCAATACAAATGTTTCTCTTCCATCCTGGCCCTCACCATCTCCCAGGTTAAACAAAATGGTCCCTACCTTTCCTCTTTTTTCTCTGTTTATTCAAAGTGTCCCAGATAACAGCACTGAAGACGGTTGGGCAAGTCAGGAAGTTGTCATGCAATTTGCACTAAGTACAGTGCAAATGGATCAGGGACACGAAGACTTGTTTAGGCTTCCTGATTATCCTCTGCTATAGCTCTGTGACAAAGGCTGTGACCTTCATACAACTTGGGATACTGTGTCAATACAAGGCAGTGGCTAAAGAGGATGGAGTAGCCTCTTGGGCCAACCTAACAAGTTAGGGCAAGCAGAGGAGATACTGCTCCGACCACTTCCCCCTAGAACCTTATGCCTGGGCTAATGTGCTTCTTTGTTTTCTCAGAGTAGCAAAACAAAAACTTAATTTTCTACAACCACCCGGAATTGATGCTATCTCCTCATGAACCCAAAGAGCCTATCACTCAGTGGATATCAAACATTTCCACTTTACAGAGCTACCATTTTATTCCAGATTAGTACCGTGTCTTGGGGCAGGGCCTGATGCTGTATCACACTAACAAGGAGTTAACTGATGACATCTGCCTTCTCCACCATTTTGGACCACACAAATGCTGCATAACACGACAAAATTACAAAATATTGGTTTTTACTGCTGGTCTAATGGTGTTCTGATGAGACTAACCTAGACATTACAAAGACAAGTGCTATATGAACAACCTTACTCATCAGAAATTATTGTAGTAGAAATAAAAGTTTTCTTCTGAGACCAAGATGGCATTCGCTTGTTGGGTAGAAGATCATCTTGAAAGTTATGAGTGGGGTTTGTAAGTGCTACAACAAGGGTACCATCTAACAGGAATAGAAAACGTAAGATACTGGAAATGTGCCCTGCATTAGCATTTTAGTTGCTAAATCTGAAAGAGGGGGATGAGGAAAGGGGACTAGAGGAAGGTCTAACATAGCCAGCCAGCAGAGAAGTCCATGGGGCTCAGAGCAGTGCCTGTTCTCATCCAGGATTGAACTACTTCAATGTTTTCACCACTAGCAATGTTAACTCCTGAACAAGCTGTGCAGCCATTAACACCAATGAGAATATCACAGGCCCATGTTCTTGCTAGTGACAATTTTGCTTTACTTGGAATTTCAGAAATTTTTCAAGGAAATGCAGGATTAAATCTACTATTAAAAATATGCATCATATGATCATGTACTTACAACAGCTGCAAAGATGTATTTCTGGTCTTTTTCTTGTAAAAAGAGCAGTAGGTCAGTTAAAAGTAGAGCTAGGATATCTTCAAAGAAAAAACATTCTTAGTATTAGTGATGCAAACCACAGCTAAAACGCCTTTGTTAAATACCCAAATTTTATGCTTGAAATCTAAATATCATTTAATAAAAATAAAAGACTAACATTGTGTCTAAGTATGACACTTTCATAAATCCCTTGTATATTATAGCTAGAGAAATATAGATAGCGTAACAGAAACCCATGTGTAAGTGTGTGTGTTTGTGTCTGTGATTGTGGGGATAGCCAATTTCCAGAAAAGAATGGAATATTGCAGTTTTCAAAATGAAAGGAAACGACTTGACTTTTTAAAAGGTTCTAACAGAAGCCTTACATTGAGGGGGAAAGGTGCTTAATTAGAGTGCAAGAGGCAACTTCCATGTCAACTCACATATGAAAACCTCCTCCTGTGCGCCCTTACATCTCAGTAAGGTTTGAGACGGTTTATAAGAACCATCTTCACTCCATTCACTGCATAATCCAACCCAAAGCTCCCAAACCTCTCATTCTACTAAGTGGACAAAGTATATGAGAATCTGTCTGTTGCAGTTAAGACTTTTTTCAACACAGCATTAAAAACTGTTGATCAGCCAATCTGTTTCAGATATTAGCTGACCTTCCATCAAAACTGGATCATCCTCCCATGGGTAATGACCCACTGAACTAGAATTTAATACCTTGTACTTCTCCTTGCTTACCTAAGGAAGTTATTATGATGAAGTGTTAGAAAAAGAGAAGAGTAGACCTGTGGTTCTTAGGCCTGGCTGCCAAGCAGACTTTCCGGGGGAACTTTAAAACATCCCTTGGCCTTTGGCTCAATCCCTTGACCAATAAAATTAGAATCTCAGAGAAGAGACTTGAGCAGGATTTATTTTTTTTAAGCTCCAAGGGTGACTCTAATGTGTAGCCAGTTTTTAAAAGCTAGAGTCAGGCAAGGTGCTAGCTACATGATCAGCCCTTAAGAATTGAAATATACTGTTTTAGACTCTAACCAGATTAACAAGTCCAGTTAACGCCCCTTAGGGAACAGTAGCACCACGAAAGTGGTTTACGCCAGGGCTGGCATGTATGTGGATGTGTTATGTGATGCAACAACAAAGATGACATTTAGAGTGTTTTCCTCTCTCTTCCATGGTCTGACAGCCCCAGGCTGGCTTGGCAAACACAGACCCCAGCTGTGTAGGTGTACTGCTTTGCTTTCAACACAGCACGCTTGCCAGAATAACATTTCTGTGCCAACGATGAACAGAACTGTCAGTGCCTTTGATTTAGACAGCAAACTTGCAGATTCATAAAAATACATGGGAAGGTTTTGTCTTAGAGCAGTGTATTCCTTTCAGAGATTTGTATCACTGTCACATTTGCCTACCGAACTTCACAATTTAAACTTTCACCTGAAAAATCAAGGGTTTATCTGTGTATGCTTGAATTCTGACCCTCTTATTACAACAAAACAAAACCTATCCTATGATGAATGGTTAAGGTGTAGGAAAAGAGGAGAATTAGCTCAGATGGAGCCACAGTACCTTTAAAACGACCCGTAGCAGTTTTCCAGTAGACAAGGCCTTCGTGTAACAGTGTCCTTTCTTTACTGATCAGTGCCTGCTTTCTAAACACATGGCCGTTTTTGAGCTTTGTGTATGTTTTGTTTTCTATCTTGTTCAGGATCTCAAGCCATTTTTGGTTTTTCTCATACTCGCTGACTTTTAGATCCACAGCTGCAATCATATCTTTAATTAAGCAAAGAGCTTTGCATAAGTCTTTATGTTCTTCAGTTCTTTCTGCATGGAAAGAAGAAAGAAAGAACACCACACAATAGGACAGAGGGAAAAGAAAGAAATCTCTTCTTTAGTTTTAAAATACAGTGAAAGGTATCCAAATAACAGAAATCCCATTAGAAAAATGTTAGATTAAATTTAAATTTATATCATCACTTTGCCTTCCCCATGTGCCAAAGAAGAACCGTTAAAATATTTATTATACATTTGCATTAGTAGATGCAACTTAATTGACAATATGATATTGGAGTTCTAGGGCTTCATATGACTTTTCCCCTGCAGCAGGAACATGTCACAGACTAAGTTGGGCCTCTCTTCCTTAGACACAGGTTAGCAAGTAATTCTCACATTTTCAAGTTTCCAAAAAACTGACCCAGCTGTGCAGCCACACCTGTGTTTTCTCAGAAACACAGACATGCAGTGACCTGAAGAGGCCCCAGACCCAGCTGTCTTCCTGGATCCCTTCCTCCATGAAAATATTCAAAACTATATGTGATAGTCACATTAGCAAAAACATAAATATATTCACTTTATAATTAAAACATTAAATAAATATTTAACATTTTATTTTTTCCCTTCTGGTTATAAAAAATTGTATTTCCAATGCACCAAGACCTTGCAAATGGGTAAGCCAGCCATGCTCATGACAACGGAGTAAATCATAGCCAAATCCAGTTGTTAGTCCTTAAAATACTGATCACTTGCTCTCATGCCTCTAGTACCTTAAGAAAACACTCTGGAGGAGTTTTGTCAATAGCCTCCTGAAACTCCAGACGCAAGAAAATTTAGCTATTTTCTGTATGTGATGATTGATGAAGATCACCTAGTTGGTGTTGATAGAGATGATGGGAACTGAAAGCACGAAGGAAAGTAAAGAAAAACCTGGAAAGAAACAAGAGGTTCTCCAGAGAGCAGAGTGGCAGTAAAACATTCTCAGAAAGCGCAGTTCAGCTGAATAGGGATCTGTTCTCCAAAGGGTCTAAACATTTCCAGGTCTAAATGTTGTCACAGATTAGTGAGGCTTTAATTAGAAAACCCCAAAGAACAGATCCCAACACCCATCTTTACAAAGAAGATTCTTTGTCTCTCTCCATCCATCAAATAGCTTGCCACACTACCTTACCTCACCTCCACAAAGTCACTTCCCTCCAGAAAAGGGTCTTATTTCTAAAGATCCTATTTCGTGACCAGAAAAGCTGAGTAGAGAAAATGAAAGTTGACTTAGAGGGTGATGTGCAGTGAGGCTAATAAAAGGCTCAACGTCTTTGGACAATGTCCTTGGACAGTGTCTTCCAAAGCCCGACCACTCAAAGTGGAGCAGCGTCAGCCTTCAGGAGTCCGGTCAGAAATGCTTGCCTTGCTCTCTCTCACCATGCTCCCTCAGAGTCTACATGTAAACAAGGGGAAGTGGATGACTAACAAGGTTTGAGTGGCACAGTCACAAAAGAGTCATGTGAACCAATGTCGCAGAAGTCTGGGGATGACTGGACATTGCCAAGATCTGCTCTTAGGGGCGGTGTCCTTCGACCACCATGCCAACTACATTGAGGAAAGTTTAACTCACACTTTCAGGTTCTGACATAAGGGATTCTGTGGTTCCCGGGCCGCTTACCAGGAATTTGACATAGAATGGTTCTTGAAGCAGCAAGCGCTAACACAGTCTGTCAGATTTTAGTCTTTGAATTGGGGTGGTAAACTTGAGAGAGAGGCTATAAACATGATACAAACTAAGAGAAGCCTTAACTTTGTTTTCATTCTTCTGCTGAGAGAAAAATGTAGGAAGATTTTCATTTTATATTATTTTTGTATTCCCTTGTGTGTTAAATTATGCAGAGCAACGAAATGGGACGTAAGGATTAAGTAGATGCCACAACCCTTGCCTGGTCTTTGCTCTAACTGTGACTAAAAAAACATGAAAAGAATAAATTATGCGTGCTATTCATCTAGACTCCTTCCAAGAAAAAAATGTTAGAAGATGAGTTTTGTAGAGTGGGCGTTTAAGATCTCAATGTCATTTTAATAACCTGAAATCAAGTGATAATAATAATGGCAATAAAAAACTGCCTACTTCTGAGCACCTGGTTCATACCCAAGTCTGTACTGGGCACTTTTTGACAAAATCTCTTTTAATTCTCACAACAATTCCTTAAGGCTAGGATTATTATTTTTACTTTATAATAGAGAAAACTGAAGCTTAGTTAATTAATTTGCCCAACTACTTACAGAGTAGCAGGGTCAAATATATACAATGGCAATGTAAGTTTACACAATTCCAAATCCATTGCCCTTGTTAACATAACACACCACCATCCTAATAATAATTTTTAATCAAGATCAATAAGCTAGTTTGAGGATTAGGTATTTTAATGTATTCATTCATTGCAGCAATATATATTTATTGATTGCTAGCCTAATTTTTAATAGCCATTGCACTAGGCATTAAAGATCTGGCTATGAACCAGTCAGACACAGGCCTTACAGATCCTACAAGGAGCTTACAGGCAAGTCAGGTGCATTAATGGTTTTTTAAAAGACTCCCAGATGTTACTCCTAGCACCTGATAAATTGAGGAGTCAAAATAGCCCTTTAACACAATATTCTCAGGCTGATAATTCATTGCTTGAGAGAAGTGACATCATCAGTGGCATCATGTCTCATCAGACTGCTGTGAAAATAACAGGAAGATGAGGAAGAGGAGGTATTAAAAAGGTCCAGATGTGGAGGACTCAGGATCAAGGTATGAAGCAGCCTGCTTAGTTTGGGATACTTGTAACAATTCAGACCAGACAGCTGTATTATAAAAAATAATGTCTCAAAGTGAATCCCAATTCTAGAGCTTTAACAGTTTCCAAATATTGGAAATATTTACAGATCAGAGGACACAAACATTATTAGCTATTCAGCACACCTTGGCTATGTTTAAAAGTAGTAAGAGGGGCAAAAACTGCCCAGGAGTTGTCGCTTACCCTTTGTGTACTGCAGGACCCTTTCCACCAAAACAGGGTACTTTGTGATACGCTGGGTGACCAGAAGAATGCATTCTGGAATTCCTCGGCGTCGAGCCAAAAGATTACTATTTTGAAGCTTAAAAATAAACACATTTTTATATACACAATTCTTACTTGTGTTTACTTTTTTTTTCTTTTTTGAGATAGGGTCTTACTAAGTAGTATAGGCTGGCCTTGAACTATGCTTCCCACGCTGGCCTCGAACTCATGGTAACCCTCCCCACTTAGACTCCCTAGGGCTAGGATTACAGGTGTGCACCACCACACTAGGCTTGTATTTACTTTTTATATGTAAATTTGGTAATATAAAAATCTCCAACAGAACAGTTTTATTCAGACCTAACATATTTGTCATCATTAATTAAAACCTGATGCATCATCACTAAATTGTGTACTTCATCATTAATTTCAATACTCCAAGATTTCAAGAAATTTCAAGTTACTTTAATGTACTTGTAATTACTCCAAAAGTGAACAAATTATTGGAATTCATGAATGATATTTTTTTAAAAATAAGCATAATCAAAGTTAATTTTGAGCATGAGTTTGCAGTATGCTATTTGTTTAGCCAACACATTTCCCACGTTTGTTATTATGCATTATAGCACTTAAAATTCCTTATAGTCAGGGCAACTTTTTGCTGAGCATTTCAAAATATTAGTCAAATTTTTAAATCCTCAACACACATGTACATGCAAAAACAAAAAAATAAAGAGAGAGAAGAGATGAATCTGGTAGCATTCTTAAAAGCGTAGATAAAATTTAGATTCCAAGAAGCTTTATAGAACAAATTTCTTCCACAAATAAACTGGAAAGGGGGAAAAAGGGAAAGAGAAGATTGAATTTAAAGGAGACTTAAAAGATAACCACCATATACAGTCTGTGAATCCTGTCAGAGCCTGATTGAAGGAATTCAATTTCATGAGACAAACACTGAAATTTGAAGATACTGAAGAATTATACCTGATTCATTTATTTTTAAGCAAAACATTTACGGGTGCATTTTAGATATAAATAGTGATAATACTCGTCATAGGGAATTTGCCTCTATGAAAATGTGATCGTCATATTTTAAAAGATACACTCTAAAGAAATGTATTATAAATGAAATTGTAAAATGCCATATTTGCTTCTAATTCTGAAGCAAACTAATTTGAAAGGGGTTGGGTAGAATCTGTATTTGCTTTTACTTTGGTTTTCCTGATATGTAACTTATCAGGGAATGAAACAGCTTCCCAGAATACTGTAAATCTTCACAGAAGTTTGGAGGACGCGACCTCAGAGATATAAGATACCAAAAGAAAGGATACTTTGGAGAAATATCTAACATAGAAAAGAGACTTTCCATCCTTCCCACAAACTTACCACTTCCTTCTCTTTCCTTTGAAAACAAAAACCTAGATATGAAACTTGTCTAAATTACACAAGACATAGCAGGACCTATTTTCCCATGTTGGTTTACCACTTTGTAATCAAATTTAAAAATACTTGCCTTAATAAAATTCTGAAACTTTTTATTCTGCTGGAGTTCTTTAAAGAGGCTAACAGCTTCCTTATGATGGCTACAGAATTCGCCATATATCCTTTTCATCTTACTTGCATTTTCTTCTGAAAACTGAGAATAACATTTCAGTAATGGTTTTTAAGTTTGGTAAGTTTTAAACAGAAAAAAAAAACATGCAATTTTAATGTATTTTAGAATATTCATTGCAAATTTAGAACAAACATGAAATCTCTGAATACAATTACTTCTCTTTCCCAGGGACTTTAAAAATTAAAATAAGAGAAACTTCTTAAATTATAAGGGTCAACCTTATAAGATTATATTATGTTATAATATAATACACTAATATACAAATCATCAAAAACATTGGACGTCTTCTATTCTTTTTTTTAGGTGGTTGTTTTTTGTATAGCTTTACTCTTCCGATTTGTATTTTAAATATTTTTTATGTATTGAATGTCCACACATCACAAGTACATTAGCAGGTAGGACATCATTAGCTAAGATGGAAAGAGAATGATGAATAACCAGAATGTCAGTTGGTTAACTGAAGAAAAGACGTTGCCTGAATGCATCAGTAGGCCTGACCGGAAGAAAAGTCTCTGTAGAAAAATCTGCACAGAAAAAACATTAAGTCATAGAATGGCGTTGAGAGAATTAGAATTATTCAAATGTCAAAATTTTTAAATTATGAAAGCTCTATGCACATATGCTCACAATGAAGATCATTGCAGCAGAAACCAGAACACACTCATCCCTCCTTGAAAAGCATTTAAAATTTACACCACCATCTCTGATATTTTCATTTTTGCTTACAGTTTTAACTATGCATGAAGTCAATATATCTCAAAAGATGATCCTTGAATCACTTACAATTGCTTTTAAAAATTTTAACAAAACACATACAGCACTTACATGCTGAAAACTACACAGTGATAATGACAGACATCAAAGTTCTAAATAAGTATGAGAGCTACATATATTCATGGATTGGAAAACTCAACATAGCAAAAATATCAATTCTCTCCATGTTAGTATACAGGTTTAATGTAATTTTTATAAAAACCCCAGCAATTTTTTTATAAATATAGAAAATGTATTTGAAATGGCAAAAGAAATAAAGTAGCTAAATAATTTTTAGAAGAATAAAGGACTCCACATTGCAATTTAAAGAAATATATATATATATATATATGTATATATTTAC